TGCGTCTAGTACAGGTATACCGTCGGTGTTACTATCTCTCTTTCTTTCTCTCTCCCTATCTCTTTCTCTGCTTCCCTCTATCTCTCTCTCTCTTTCTATATATATATTATATAATCAAAGACATGCTGTGGCGCTGCGTCTGACGCACCTCTGACGCATGACGCAATGACGCAGCTAGCATGCGTCTAGTACAGGTATACCGTCGGTGTTACTAGCTAAGTTATACACACCTACCGTACTAACACTACAGTAGCCGCACCACCTAGGATGCGTTTCAACGACTACACACTGAATCTCATTCACACAGAGATGAGCCATAGCACACGAGCCGCCGCATTATATACGCTTACACACATGAGCGCGTGCTGCGATCTCACCCCACGGGCCGCTAATTCCCGCCGCCCCATCTGTGACTAAACTTGTCTTGCTCAGTTCAATGAACCGCCCTCGCTCACCTTACGTCTCGCTCGCTGCACCTCTGGATACCTGTGGGATGAGCTAGCCAGCTCAGTCACTACACCTGGCTGCACCGCATTCCACGCACTCACCTGCCCCCGCGGTCGCTTTCGCATAACTATATGCTGTGACGGCCCGAGAGCAGCAGGGCCACACAGGGTTCACAGGTAGCGGCGTGCGGCAAGAGAGAGACAGCGTGTTCGGATCGCTCCCCGCCGCGGACTCGTTTGTGTCGTGTTATTTGAGCAGGGACTGGAGGGAGGACCAGAGAGAGAGAGAAGAGAGTGAGCGAGCGAGAGAGAGCGAGAGGGAGAGAGCGTGAGAGCGAGAGAGAGAGAGAGAGAGAGAGAGCGAGAGAGCGAGAGAGAGAGAAAGAGAGCGAGAGAGGGAGAGAGCGCGCACGAGGGGCGAAAAAAAGGTAGGGATCGGAAACGAACCCTTACACCTGTGGAGAAAGCGTGAACGTTGGAGACCTAACGCGTGAGTCGTGACCGTGGATGTGCCAAACGAGACGGAGCAGGGCGGGATTCATGAAGCTCGAGAATCACAGCTGATAGCAGCGACCAAGCATTGCTAGTGCTTGTACTTGTCTTGTGGTAAACAAACAACGCCGACGAGTTCTACGATGTGGTGGAGGAGGACGACGCGTGCCTCTGTGTGTGGAGTATTGGCGGGACTGCATTCACACGTGCCGACCGTGGTGCCATTATTGATATTTCTGCCGTTCTTGCTGGCACAGCCTCAGGTGAGTATCTGCTTTTAAATATAAACAATTTTCATGGGAAAACTACTTTTCAGTCCATCCTCCGTTCTCGCCCCCTCTCCCGCTCCCCCTCTTTCTCTCCCTCTCTCTTTATATATATATATATATAATATTATTATATATATATATATATATATAATATATTATTATATATATATATATATATATACATATCCCCTCTCTCTTTTGTCTTTGTCTACTCGATGCATCACGACTACTCAGCGCTTCTCACCCTTTCTTGCTCGTGTTTGTTGCTCACTGATGCTAGAACAGATACAACTTACGTGTTACAAGGTGTGTAGGCAATCGTTGGCTAGGCTTCTCTCTTGCTATCGATCTATCCATCTATCTATCTATCTATCTATCTATCTATCTATCTATCTATCTATCTATCTATCTATCCATCATCCATTCCATCCATCCATCCATCCATTCCATCCATCCATCCATCCATCCATCCATCCATGCCATCCATCCAATCCATCCATCCATCCATCCATCTCTCTCTTTCGCTCGCTCTCTCTCTCTTTCGCTCGCTCTCTCTCTCTCTTTCTCTCCTCTATCTCTCTCTCTCTCTCTCGCTCTCTCTCTCTCTCTCTGCTCTCTTATATATATAATATATATATAGATATAAATAAATATATATATATAATAAATATATATAATATAGTACTATATGTCGTTAATTTAGTTACGCTAGCTGTCTATCTAATCTATATATATATAATATTATATATATATCAAGAGTACATAATGGGAGATATATATATAGCTATGATGATAATCATACCGCCGCGCGCATGCTTCATCGAACATCGTTTTAGCTGGTTGTTTACTTTCTACTTTGATTAGCATTAGCATTAATTTGTCAACTTTAATCATCGGAAGCTGTCGACTGTGCGTGTATGTATGTTTCTATAACGTCTCTGACATGGGCGGATTCAGACCGTATTTGCCGTATGGGGAAATACGGTCTAGATTTCAAAGTGCCCTTCGAAATTTTGCGCTAAAAATACAAAAAACAATTTGATGGAATTTGGCTATATTCTTTATTTGTTTTCTTTTTCTTCTGATTCATTGACAGGACTTAAAGGAAATCAAAATTTTACATGGTAACAAAACTAGCTTTGATATCTGAAAAAGAAGGATGAATGTGCTGATGAATGTGAAATGAAAAGTGCTTGAATCATTCTGCATTAATTGCTGGTATGCAAAGCGCAGGCAAAATAAAGCAGAAATAAAATTCCATATGGTTTTTAGCTATTGCTGCTTGACTAAGTGTGTGCTCAAATGGTGCTCATTTTTGTGCCCAGGGACCCTTGAAATTTTGAAATTTCCTGGGGGAGGCCCCTCAGACCCCCCCCCCGCCATGTGCATCCGCGCCTAACGGGGCCCACTGTGGGGTGGTGTGCCCTTTTTGGGGGTGTGCCCTTAAAATCTGGAAAAATACGGTCTCGCTTCAGCCCTGGATCCGCCCTTGTATCAGTGCGTGCGTAAACGCTTGCGTGTATGTGCGTGTGCGTGAAACATGACGTATTATGCTCATATCATATCAGATAAATTCGATGACTGCACAACTTTAGCGGCCTCGAATGCATGACGAACAATGTAAGCCTACAACCAGGAGACGTACTACAATATCCATTTCGTTATGCGTTACCGTTTAGCTGTCATTAGTGTATATATTTAGATTCGCAGCGTGATTTCATTTTATTTTCACTAATGAAGCGATATGTAGAGCGCAACGTCAGGTTTTTGTGATACAGTCAATTCGACAACAGAATAGTGTGGCTGTAACATTTCCTATGTAGGTATTAGGGCCTATACTCATACAGCAGCTAAACTCGTGCATGGTGCGCCCTCGTTTCCCACCGAGTATGATGGTCATGCACTCTTAATCTCTAATAGAGGAAATAATCAAAGCATATATGTATATATATATGGCTGTAGTACCCACTATCAATGCCTTTCATATTCTTTGTATTATCCGTCAACCTTCAACTCGAGTTGCTGATGTATTATTCTTTTGGCTTGCCGGAAAGGGAGGGATCACATAAGAAAATTTCAAAAACGAGGAAGTGCACCAATATAGCCTGGAAAATTTCCATATGCTAGAGATCTCAATATAAACGAGTATTCCGTTTCTTTACGTCGGGAAAGTGTTCAACCTAATGCGAGAGGCAAAATCTTTTATTTATTTGAAAAAAAACCGAGCTTTTAAAAAAATTCACTCTATTTATTGTCCCTGTGCAGTTGCGCGGTTTCTCTGTTATGCTCGGTCATAAAAGTATACATTACAGTAAACCTCTCACGCGAGTTATACGTTTCCTATTTCCTCTACGAGATTTTGGTTGCGATCGTGATTGTAATAATAACATTGACTCAATATTTCATAAATTTATACCTCGTATATGTACTAGTATACACTATACTTAGTTTTTCGCAGAAATTTCATATGAATGTGCATGTTTCTTGCAGGCGAGTCTACCCGTGGATTTTGGATCTAGACCAATAGCGTTTACATGTCCACCAGGTATTCCCACCAATCGGTCATATCAGCATTCAATCAAGTTCAACATGATTATATTATATAGCGTGATTGTGGGGAGAGGGGGAGAGGGGAAGAGAGCGAGATGGAAAAGTGAGGAGAAGAGGCGGGTAAAGAGAGACAGTGAGTAGAGATGGCGACGGGTAGAGACATGGGAAGATTGCGAGAGGTCGCTAAAACAGAGGCAGGATGAATGGAGAGGAAGGGTAGGAAAGAGGGGGATACAGAGAAGAGGTGAGGAGTGAGAGAGCCAGTATTAACAGAACAGTACTTCACAAGTGCATTCACTGCAATTACGTATATGTTATTTAAGCAATATTACAGAAAGCTAAGTTGTGTGCGTATCAACTCGAAACTATTGTCATACAGGATGGGAGAACTTTGGAAGCTCGTGCTATAAACTATTTGCTGGAAGGAAATCCTGGAGAACAGCATTGCAAACATGCAAAAGGTAAAGCAATGTACTGCGAATAATTAGCATGTAAAGTATAAATACAAAAATGCGCAGTCGAAATTGTCTGTTACAGTATGTAGAATATTAAGGAAAACAGAGTAATAACTAATAACTCAATTTCCTGTGAGTTTAAAATATGTACAATACACACGCATGCACGCACGCACACACACGCGCACGCACGCACGCACTGGCGTACACACACACACACACACACACACACACACACACACACACACACACACACACACACACAC